AGTAAACCATAGATAGATGTAAAATATATGTATTTATTTTTACGTTTTTTCTTCTTTTTAGTTAACAATTCATGGTTTCAATCATAAGATTTTAACATTACTAAATAAAATTGTTGAGAGAATGGTTAATATTAAAGTTGATAAGCAAAGATTTGAAATATTAAAAGAAAAAGTAAACTAAATAAACTGAATAAATAAAAATTAACTTTAGAGAATATTTTATTTTTTTGTAGGTAAAACGTTCATTACAAAATTTTCGTCGTGACGTTCCCTATCAACTAGCCATGTTCGGTATTACATATTTAACAGCTGAACATTTATGGAATAAAGAAGAATTACTTAGTTGTATTGATGGTATAATTGCAATGATATCAATTCAATGAAGATAATTTTTTCGATGATGTTATTCTAGGAATCACTGTTCATGATTTAGAAGTATTTATTCCTCGAATGTTAAGTCGATTTTATATTGATGCATTAATGTATGGAAATATAACGAAGGAGGTATTGTATATAATTTTAAATGTCTTTTAATTTGTGCTTATTGTTAAATAAGATGCTATTATTTTATTTTATTCTTATCTCTCTACAAGATATTTTCATTTCTAATATATCTGTTTTAGCAAGCTTGTGAGTATATGTCAAGTTTGCAACGTCAATTTCAAGAACATCATTATTATCAACCGTTATTTCCATCATTATGGTTAAATCAACGAGAATTAAAACTTCCTGAAGGTATATTTAATTTCAACTATATTAACTAACTTTGCTACCTGAGTGATATTTCGTTACATTTTGTTTTTCTTGTAGTTTTCGAACGATGAGATGTTCAGAGTACTGGGACGTCTCAAACGAAAGAGTGTGGTTTAGCACACGCTATACGAGCTTTCGCTTCAGAAAATATTAGAAAAACATAAATATCTGGTTTTCTCAAAATCTTCAGCACACTTTTCTCTTTAATGTGAGACATCTCAATACTCGAAGCATCTCATCGTTCAAAAACTATAAAGAAAACAAAATGTAACGGAATATCATTCAGATAGGAGTGTTAATGAATCAAGTCGTTTTACACATCTCTTTTTACCCGTTATTCTTTTTCTAAGGTTGTAATTATGGCTATTTAATGTTAAATGATGCTCATCAGTTACATGCAATTGAAATATACCTGCAATGTTTTCCACAAACAATCGATAATAATGCTCTATTAGAATTCTTTTGTTATCTAATTGAGGAGCCATGTTTTGATCAATTAAGAACAAAAGAACAATTAGGTAAGTTAATTATTTTCTCTCATAAATTGAATAAAAATCTTCGTTTGTTTTTTTTTAGGTTATGTTGTTTCCAGTGGTGCTCGACGTTCACATGGTGTACAAGGTTTTCGAGTTATTGTACAATCATCAGTGACATTAGAACATGTTAATTTAAGAATAGAAACGTTTTTAGATAGTGTCAAGGTATGATGTAGTAAAAGAAAAAAAATGTAATTTTAATGATTTACTATCTTAATGTTTTATCTCTCTTAGAATATGCTTGTTTCTATGCCAGATGATATTTATGTAAAACAACGTGAAAGTTTTACGATTAAAAAAGTTGAAATTCCAAAAAAAATGCATAATCAAGGAAATAAATGGTGGAATGAAATAACAACTCATCAGTATTGTTTCGAGAGACGTAAGTGTTTAACATTTAAAAAAAGATGGTCAACAAATTTTTCGTTATAAAACAAATGAGGAATTTTCTTAAAGTATCAATGTTTCTGTCTTGTATTTAGCTCGTCTTGAAGTGGATGTTATAAAATCGCTTGAACGTGAAGATATTCTTAAATTTTATGAACATTATATATCACCTCATTCATTATATCGACGTAAACTCTCTCTACATGTTGTACCATCACCGATAGCCAAACAACAGTCATCTACAACAATCGAAAAAGATGACAATATGCTCGGTGTTGATGCTGGATCGGATGATGAAGAGATCGATGATGGTGTAAAAGGTGAACGTTTGGTTGAAGTAGAATTCACACCACAATCGGTACAAGAATTAACAAAACAGAAACCGATTGCTGATATTCCATTAGTAGAAGAAATAGTAGAAATAGAAAAAGCACTTAGTAAAGCTTTATCGGTGGCCGAACCGGATTCAAAAGTAATACGAATAGAAAATATGGTAAAAGAAGAAAAACCATTAGCATTACCACAAGTATGTGAGACAGATACATATTAATTTTTTTTGTCAAAGAAATCAAATAGGATCAGATTTCAAAAGTTTTGGGTATTTTATGAGATTATTCGTATGACCTTGAGCACATAAGATAGGAGAGATTACAGTAATTATCTAAGTAAACGTTCGTTGGATTCCTCCACTATAAGTGATAGACCATCCTCTCTAGAGATCCCCGGCGACCGGATTTTACAGCCACGTATTGTTTTAGGCTGAAAACAACTCAAAAATCGATAGAAAACCTAAAGAGTTCTCTAGAAACCCTTTAGAGATCCCAAGTACAAGATTCTCGTAGATTCAGTATAAACTCTTTTCTGTGCCATCCTAGACTGGAATCAAAACAATTTTCTGATGATGAAAGAATTTGTTGCTTTTCGTTCTGAGCATCAGTCATCTTGTGATGGGCAAACATTTTGTTTTATGAACCTTAACTTACAGTCAAGGAAGCTATTTTCACAGACATGAGTATTAGTGGAAAAAGTGGCATTTTTTAACAGAATTGCCTAAGTAGGAGCAACTGT